TGTTAAAAGTTCAGGCCATCCAGGGACGGATTTAGTGTGAGCCACACTAAATTTAAAATGTTGCCCAAGATTTTTTCAATATTTCAAAAAAAATTCTTACAGTTTCCAATTTTTGTCCACACAATTAAAATTTTGTGAAAATTGTTCTCACAATTCTTTTATCCTAACTCCGTCCATGAGTCCATCAGTGTTATTAACCCGTACATTATCTGTCGGATCTGGGATTAGGGTGTTCTAAATGCGAGCTTGCTTGTCCAAAATCTCTAATGGATCCATTTGGCTTGTTAGTTTGAATTTGTCGTTTAGGCCCCGTTCGGGAGGGATTAAAAGCCAATTAAAATTAAAAATATAATCGTTATTGGGTCCCACTCGTCTAATAAAAGTCAACAATAACAGCTATATTTTCAATTTTAATCCGATTTTAATCCCTCCCATACAAGGCCTAATTCGAAAGATGCATCATGTAGTTTTTCATCAATTCTTCTTAACGGTACTAGGAACCAACTCGACAAGTCAAGAATATCGTCTGAGAAATAAGTTAAAAAAATAAGATTATTAAAAAATAATTATTTTTATCTTGCCGTTTAACTATTTTGTTTATCGACAACACGTGGTACAATGTCAAATTTGATGTCAAATGTAGTGTACATGTAGCATGATTGATCGAAATAAACGTTGCCTAATTTATGTCTGAAGAAAAAAATTATTGACTACGCTACTGTGGTTAAGTAGAAAAGGAGTTGCAGCGAGCGTCAGAGGCAATTGCACGTGAGTGAAATCTCAACTACCAGTCCTAGCCAGGCTCAGAAAATTCTTAACTCAAATTTTATTTTTATTTTTATTTTTATTTTTGGCATATTAAAGGAAAAGAGATCTGAATGGATAACATTGCATTGGGATTTGGGTACTAAAATTAATTAATATTGCTTTTTATAGAACCAGTTATAAATGATTTAGCATTGATAAAGCGATTGATGTAGGCAATTTTAAAGTGATCCATACACGATATAACCCGTTTTAAGTAAGCTCGACCATGTACCAAACAAGTCATAACGATTTGACATTGATAAAGAGATTGATATAGACGAATATTAAAGATATTGCCCTTTTTAAGTAAGCTCGACCATTTACCAAACAAGTTATAAATAATTTGACGCTAACAAAAGAAATTGACGTAGACTAATTTTAATGTGGTCCATATTCGATAAACTTATTGGCTCAATAATACATTTTACTTAAGAGTGTGTTTGATTGACTTTATTTTCATGAAAAATGTCACTTTTCTACCAAAATTCCTACTTTTTGGTGGGGCTGTAAATTGATTTAATTTTGATCTGAATCTAATGAAATTAATGGGAGATGGATTTAACGTCTCGATCCGATAATCTGATTAAGATCTAAATTCGATAATTTGTTAACTAAATGGATCAAATATGGATATAAGTTAATCTGATACGATAACAACCCAATCTGATTTGTTATAAATAGTTGAGTCGATAAAGTATTTTTATGGAATGTTATTTGTCTTTAAAATAAATAAATTTAGAATAAAAAAGACATCAAATTCAAAACATAATAATAATAATAATAATAATAATAATAATAATAATAATAATAAAGTCAATCTACGTTTACACAATGTTCCAAAAAAGTGTAATGCGAGGTGTGGAGGTTTCTGACTACGAGTCTGGACGAAGCTAGGCATAAAAACTTATAAAAATGTATTTTTTTATTTTAATATTATTTTAAAATTTTAATTAATCTAAAAATTATTTAATAATACATACAAATTATAATACCAAATGCAGTTTTAAGAGTTTAATAAAATAAATATATTCGATAAACAATATATAGTATAATAGTGCTATTGAAATATTTAGAGAATTTTAAATTTTTATTAATTAGTAAAATATAGGAAAAATAATTAATTTAATAAATTATAAATAACTTTTTTATGTAATAGTACAATACAATACAATAAACTATAATCAAATCAAATGTAAAATACATTACAGTCAAATCAACAATGTAGTACAACCAAACTAAATTGATTCTCATCCCACAACGAAAGTTTATAACAAAATATTTGGAGATAACCTCTATAAATAAGTGAGTGAATAACTTTTTGTGCATTTTAATCCAATTAGCTAAAAGTTAAATAAGTTGAAAATTTTATAATTATTAAACTCGTTTAAGAATTAGAAAAATTGGGGGAAAAAGAGCTAATTTCAACATTGATTTTATTTTTCCGATTTCTTTAATTTCGGATCAGATATTCTATAACACAACAAATCGAATATGGATTTAATAATCAAATATCCAAATTATCGAATTGGATCGGATATATGCAAATTCGGTCTATATCTGATCCATTTACAACCCTACTTTTTGAGTGTTTAATTAACAATTTTTTTCATGAAAAATATTTCCCAATTTCTGGTCACATGACCATATTTTTCTCAGAAATAAGGAAAACAATTTTTTTTTTAGGAAAAGATGATTTTTATTTTCCTAATAATTCACTCAAACTCTATCCAATAATTCACTCTCACTCTATCCCTTGTCTCATTTATCCGCCTCTTTTTCATCCACTCACCAATAAAAAATGAATAAATATAATATTTTTTAAATTGAAAATTAAATCAATGAACATCAATGTGATCGCAATCAAACACATGAGTTATTCTCAAAAGGGGAAAAAAAAAAAAAAATTCAAATCAAACCGTCAAAGAAGATGAGATAGTTAGTTGCGGCGAATATTTAGGCCTCAAAATTTGTCCTTACAGCTGCATCACCACTCACCTTGTTTAATGCAAATACCAAATTGCTATCAACAATACTATTAAATTCCTTAACCTCTGCATATTTCAGAATCCAGATGGCTAATCCAGAAAGATTCCTGCAATAATAGGGGGCCAACAAGAGTAAAACTTTCTCGCTGATTTTATTTTTTTCTTCTATAAATTTAGGGGATGTTACATTTATTGAAACACCACAAATTATAATACTAAATGCAGTTTTAAGAGTTTAATAAAATAAATATATTCAATAAACAATATATAGTATAATAGTGCTATTGAAATATTTAGAGAATTTTAAATTTTTATTAATTAGTAAAATATAGAAAAAATAATTAATTTAATAAATTATACATAACTTTTTTATGTAATAGTACAGTACAATACAATGCAATACACTATAATCAAATCCAATGTAAAATACATTGCAGTCAAATCAACAATGTACTACAGCCAAACTAAATTGATTCTCATCCCACAACGAAAGTTTATAACAAAATATTTGAAGATAACCTCTATAAATAAGTGAGTTAATAAATTTTTGTGCATTTTAATCCAATTAGCTAAAAGTTAAATAAGTTGAAAAATTTATAATTATTAAACTCGTTTAAGAATTAGAAAAATTGGGGGAAAAAGAGCTAATTTCAACATTAATTTTATTTTTCCGATTTCTTTGATTTCGGATCAGATATTCTGTAACACAACAAATCGAATATGGATTTAGTAATCAAATATCTAAATTATCGAATTGGATCGGATATATGCAGATTCGGTCTATATCTGATCCATTTACAATCCTACTTTTTGAGTGTTTAATTAACAATTTTTTTCATGAAAAATATTTCCCAATTTCTGGTCACATGACCATATTTTTCTCAGAAATAAGGAAAACAATTTTTTCTTAGGAAAATGTGATTTTTATTTTCCTAATAATTCACTCAAACTCTATCCAATAATTCACTCTCACTCTATCCCTTGTCTCATCTATCCGCCTCTTTTTTATCTACCCATCAATAAAAAATGAATAAATATAATATTTTTTAAATTGAGAATTAAATCAATCAAACACGTTTCATCAATGTGATCGCAATCAAACACATGAGTTATTCTCAAAAGGGTGAAAAAAAAAAGAAAATTCAAATCAAACCTTCAAAGAAGATGAGACGGTTAGTTGCGGCGAACATTTAGGCCTCAAAATTTGTCCTTGCAGCTGCATCACCACTCACCTTGTTTAATGCAAATACCAAATTGCTATCAACAATACTATTAAATTCCTCAACCTCTGCATATTTCAGAATCCAGATAGCTAATCCAGAAAGATTCCTGCAATAATAGGGGGCCAACAAGAGTAAAACTTTCTCGCTGATTTTATTTTTTTCTTCTATAAATTTAGGGATGTTACATTTATTGAAACACCCAACAATTTCNGGGATGTTACATTTATTGAAACACCCAACAATTTCTTTCTCTCTTTGGGTTCTTGTTTTTTCTGCACAAATTTGGCAAGTTTTGAAATCAAGATTCGCCTTTGACACTTCTCAACTTTCAATATGAAGGTCCAGTTGAATGGCTTAAGATGAAAATCAAGGGCTAAACGAATGTTCAGAAATTACACTGTTTGGTTGGTCTAAAAATTATCCGGGTTTGCATAATTTGTTCTTGTTTGGATAATTGGATGGATTTCAGATGATAATTATTAATATAATGATATTCATTCCTGCAATTGCAAGTACTGTATGGACACTATTATAATTTGGGTTGCTTCTATATTTTCTTCTTCAATTGTTGTTTATAGGATGGATTCTCAGTAGTTAATTTTTAGGTGTTGGACTATAAATTTGTCGATAAAGGGTCTCAGAGATGTATAAATCGCGAACTAAGGTAGTCGAGGCTTTCCAATATGTTCTAGAGACTAGATTAATTAAGCAGTGTATTAGTGCATGTATTTTGAGGTTTTTTGTTCTAATTTCACATACTTTGATTATTCTCGTTGGAATAAGCGAGCTCTTTTTTGAGACTATTTCGCAAATTCAATAAAAAGTTGTCATCTGTGAAAGGGATAATTTTGCAAATTTGTTAAAAGATAACCTCTCTAAATCATCTGTCTAATTCTTGATTTTCTGTCTGGTTGTAGGGATCTAAAACTCAGAAGCTAAACTATGTTGAACTAAACTCTGATCATCAGTTGTTATAATTAAAAAGATGGAAATTAAAGAAGCAGAGAAAATAGTAATAGCTAAACCAGTTGCATCAAGACCAGCTTTTTCCGGTTTTAGATCTTTCACGGAGCTTCTTACTGGTGCAATCAACACTGCACCTCTTAATGCGTTGTCCAAAACTACAGTTGCAGCAATTAAACCGAGGACAGTGCGGTTTAAGCCAGCTGGGAATCAAAATTTAGTCGAGATGGATTCTTTTGAGGTTGTCATTTTTCTTTCACAAGTTTTTCAGTTGTCGGCATATATGTTTTTCTTATGGTTTCAATACCTGATGATTACAGGCTGAAATATCAGGTTCAGAAGCTTCGTGTGCATCTGATAACGTCCTTAAATCTGAACCCACGGCGAATGTGATATACAAACCAATTGCGAAGCTTGTATCAAAGGCAACCATTTCTGTCTTGGCTAATTTGGTTAGTTTAAATACTGTCTGTTTATATCTGTAATAGTCAGTGATCAATTTTTTATTTGGAAATGGCTTCATTCCCTCAGAAAGACTCATGAATCTGTCTTCCATGGATATAAAATGGCTTTTTGCCTTTTCCAGGGGAGGGACAACCTTATTCGTCAACAGAACCTTATTCGTCAACAGAAAATACCCGAGGTTGATGCTCAACCACATAACCAAGGGAACAACCGATTGGACCTTACATCAGAATCTTATCAGAATTTCGCTTCACATTCTGAAGCAAAGGGAACTGGTACACAAGAAAACTCTCCAGCTGCTAATACTTCCGTGTTACTCACAAATGATGGGGATCGTCCTTCATATGATGGATATAATTGGAGGAAATATGGTCAGAAGCAAGTCAAAGGCAGCCAGTATCCACGAAGTTACTACAAGTGTACAAAACCCAATTGTCCAGTGAAAAAGAATGTAGAAAGAACACTAGACGGTCAGATTGCTGAAATAGTCTACAAGGGTGTTCATAACCATCCAAAATCTCGGCCTTCAAAACACACCCCCACAGATGGGCAAGGTCACGGATTTGCATCAGATGCTACTTGTAATGAAATGAAAAATCCCATCCCATCTAACCATCTGAATGAAAGGAATGAATGTTATGGAGGTAGACTTGACAATCGAAATGACACTGAATCATCAGTCCATTCGACTTATCCCGGCCAAGTTCTACCATCTAATGATCTGATCACAGATGGAGCATTCAATATTAGCGTCTCAACTCCTGATGATTCTTTTGGTTTAAGTGAGGAATTTGAGGAAGGAAGCAAAGATTTGGAGGCTGAAGGCGATGAACCCAAAAGCAAAAGAAGGTAAGTGATTCTTTTACCATTTGCTAGTAGTAATGAGCATTTCACTCAACATCAAATGGCAACATATAAACTCTTATGTTTACAGAAGATTGCCAATTACGTTTACTTGAAGTTCAAGGTCATTGACGTCTTGAATTTGTTTTTTCTTTTCCAGGAAAAAAAGGAACCAATCAATAAAAGAAGGCATGCGTGATCCTCAAACTGCTTACCCAAATTCTGCAGATTGTGAGGTTATAGGGGATGGATATCGCTGGAGAAAGTATGGCCAGAAAGTTGTGAAGGGGAATCCATATCCAAGGTTAGCATTGATAAGCTAGACGTAAAGAATATGATACCACTAGCTTAAATGAAAGCCATTGACCATTTAGTTGTCTTTTTCAAATTGGGTATTACGCATATAACATGTTCTTGGTTGGCTAATCAGGAGTTACTATCGATGCACTAGTCTCAGCTGCAATGTACGCAAGTATGTTGAAAGAACATCAGATGATCCAAGGGCTTTTGTTACAACATACGAGGGTCGACACAACCATGAGATGCCAATCAAAAATGCAGATTCAGCAACATCCAAGACAAGTATGAAGAATAAATCAGCAACTTAACCACTCAAGGAACTGACTTCCGACCAGGGAATTGCTCAAAGCCTTGCTGCAATGGTGTGGTCAAATTGAAATTAGTTTAAAGGCTGAATTTGAGATAATTAGAAGGAGGTAGTTGATTAGTTAAGTTCTTGCTACTTATTATATCATCTGATTTACTTGATGATCATCCATATCCTTCAAGGTACCATTTTTCTTGCAAATTTTACAAAACAATTTCATGCCCATACGGAATCTTTTAACAATTATGCTATGCTCAAAAATAGAGTTCATTTTGCTGCATTTGGTATTATCTTATATGTCCAAATGTGGATATAACGTAGCGAAGATTATTAGTGATGACATTGCTCAAAAGATTGTTGGTAGTGAAAAAACTTTCGAGAGAGAGAGACCTTGGTATCTGTTGCACATACCATGATACCTGGAATTTGCAAAAATTTAGATGAATCACCATTTAAGATTAGGGTGATGCTACATGTACACCTCATGCATTACACAATCCTTTACACCTCCTCACATGGAGGGGGGCCCACGATTATTTTATTATCCGTGGACCTCCCTCCATGTGAGGGAGGTGTAAAAGATTGTGTCAAGAATTATGTACACATAGTTTTATTCTTAAGATTAATATCTTTCCCATTTTTACAAATTGGGATTTCTCTCCTATCCAAAATACTGTAAAAATGTTCATTTTGGAGTGAATGTATATACTATTGAGATTCAAAAGAAGTTAAAAATTTTATTTGTTATACTATCTAGCTCAATCCAGTCACAACAATTTGAGCAAGCTAACTTCTTAATGTTGATACAACTGCAATTTTCTACACGAATAAATTTATTGCACCAAGGTCTAGTTTATCACAAACAAGCGAAGAACAAACACAATCTAGTACATAACATAAAAATGTCCAGTTGCAGTAGTTTTCCAGCACAATTTATCACTTGGCCTGCAGAAAAGGAAATTTGATGTGCTAAGTATCTCGATTTGAACAAAAATACCATAAAGATGTAACTTTACTAAGTGAACGAAATTACCAGATACCAGCTTGTATAAAGTTCGACCAGTGCTTTAGAATTGCACTTAGTGTGCTTGTATGCATCAATTTTGTTAATCTCCTGCATAAGCCTTAAAAATATTCACAAATGTTACCAAATTCAAAGTGTACAATAATTTCATGTTTTGGTAGTTTCATCAACCGTAGGATTGTGACTGAAGTACCTCTATGTATGCTGCTAATTTAGGCCTACCAGATGTGATATCATATTTCCACACTTGTTGTAAAAAGATGTGAAACCTTTCAATGAACGGAACATAAACAGTGTCCACCTGGATCAAAACAAGATTTATTGGCTTAAGCTTAGGATCCATTTGACATGACATTTGAGAAGCCAAAAGCTACTTTTGGACCTCTTCGGTTAATTTAACAAGAATACTTCTTCTAATTAGAATAGCTTTTGAGGAAGTTGGCTCAACGCGACTTCCTTTGAAAGCTCTCCTGGTTTGGACTACAATGAATCAGAATAATGATTGTCGCTTACCTGACTGAAGTGACCAAGGAAGAATGGCCCATCATCGAATTTACTGAGTGCAGTTTCTAAATAGTCGAATTCACCACCTAATGGAACAATTCTATTCAGATCAGGTTTATACTGAAGCAGTGAAATTGCAAAAGTAAAATTGTAAAACTTAATTAGCTCACAAGCTTCTTTCAATGGATCTCCTTTGAACGACGTGGACACATTGTTTATGAATGTTCCACAATAGGCTATCAGCTCTTCTGCAAACTTCTGTTTGGCAGGAGCCTGTAGCATTCATCGTACCATAATAATTTATAATCCCGTCTACTATTTTCGAGTGTACGGATGAAAATAAAATTGACATCTTACATCGGGTAACAGAGCCGGTCCTTCAAAGTTACTATCGAGGTATTTAATCAAATCCAAACTCTCTCCAATGACTTTGCCATTGTGCTCCAGTGATGGCACCTACAGAATGAACAAAGCTTGTTTGGGCGTACGTGCTTTGAAAAGATACTATCTAATAAGTAAAATAAGTCCCCTGAATCAGTCTAGATAGCAAGGAGAAGACACGATTGTTACCTTATTTTCAGGATACAACTTCTCCTTGTACCAACCGGGCTTGTTTTGAAGGTGAATGGCAATTAACTTGATCTTGTCATGTAAACCCTTGATAAAGAAATGTTTTACAAAAATACATTTAGTTGACATTGATCAAATCCATGCTGGAAAAACTCGGTTTGAAAGTTTTAATCCAAGTTATTACCAACGTATCGACTGAGTACCAATTGTTAACGACGACGTTTCATTGGCTTTAACTCACATAAAGGAACCCCATATCGAATGATAAATAACTAACATGTTATAAGTTTTAATGATTCAAATCGTTTTCCAAGTTACAAAAAACTATACAGCAAGAAAAGAAAAGTGTCTTGTGAGTACTTTAATGTTACAACATACTACCATGGCAACATATGTTGGCATTAGAAATCAAAGTAAACAATGCCCAAAATGGAAAACAGAGAAAAAAGAAGTATATAATAAACTCAGACTAAAAAGAGAGATTGATCACAAACCTTAAAATTCCTGACAATCCACACACGTTGGCAAAATGGACACTCGTAGTTGAGATACAACCTTCAAATACAAAACCCGTATCATGTTCCAGGACCACGTACCAAAAATTGAACCATGCTGCAAAAACGAAACAACTTCATAACATTTTCGAACGTGCATGTTCACTATCTATTAAAGAAGGACACATTTGTTCTTCTAAACTTTCCTAAATAGATGGTAGCTTTTATATCACGTTGTACTAGCTCGTCTAAAAGTTAACCACTTCGGGTTCTTAGCGAGGAAAGAAAAACAGAGGGAGATGGTACCTAGTGGTTCCATCAAAGAGTGGTGGTGGTTCAGAAGTCGAATCCAAGATTGGTGGAAGAACCTCTTCACCGCTGCTGTATATTTACACCATAAAATTCAATAATAAATAATTATGTAATACTAATGGACGTATACAGAGATGGATTGATAACTCACTAGGCAGCCATTGATGTTCTTGATCGAGCTCAAGTTTGCAGATAGTTGACTCCACAGATTGAGTACTTTTGATTTATGAATCGTATATTATTATTTGCTGTTGGGATCCAAGATTCCTTTTGTTTAATATATTATATACAGGGTGATGGGAAAGTGGAGAAATGTCATATTTGTGAAAATTTATAAAGAAATGTCGATAATGTTATTTCGCACCACGGGTGGTAACCATCAATTTAAGTGACATTCAAGTATTATTAGCTACTCGATAAATTTAGAAGGGACATGAATGCCATCTAAGGTGACAAAGACTGATGTTACGTAGAATTATTCAGGTTTATTTTATTGTAATCAAGGACAATAATTAGATATTTGGCGCTTCCCACGCTTCAAGTTGGTTGTTTTTGCTTGCGGCCCCTTCCCTACCACTGCCTCACCATCCTGTTGGAGCAAAGTCGGCAATCTCATAATGATAGAAGGAGTGTCCTAAAATGCGTAATGCGTTGCGATGCGTCGAGGCCGAGAATATGACTCTCCCAATCTAGTTGTTGCTTCTCTTTCTATTACTTCGAAACTCGGACAAAAAGATTCACAATCTCGGTTCAATCTCTTTGAAAGTAGAGATTTCCGTTAGTTCTCGGTTCATTTCATTGGATTGGAGATTTTCATTTCAAATAATGCTATCCATCTACACTAATGATTATCATCTTTGTAGATAACATTTAAGTGATATTAATTGATATATCATTTTCATTATCCCATTAAGTGACATAGATAAGCGTTATTCCCGTGTACAAGTTCTTTAGTTAACTTGCTTGTGAGATATTCCTGCAAAGCTCCAAGAATTAATTAATTCAAATCTTGGCTTAATAATGTGGCCATAAATTAAGGTAGAAGACTTTCCATCTTTATTTTATTTGTAAACAGTACATTACAGCTAGTATTTTATGTATTAAAAAAACATCAATTTGAATCAAGTGGTAAATAACCCTGAGTTGTCAAAGAATAAAAATACACGTAAACTAATATATATAA